AAGTGTAGGAAAAATACAAACTGAACCTAACCCATAAAGTTCTCTTTCCCCTCCTTTAGTTTTGCTTCCGTTCTCATGTTGGGGTCCTTTGCGTGTGTGGGTAGCTCAAACAATTGCCTGAATAAAATTTGACAGGTTGAACGTTTGCTTATAGTGTCACATAATAATAGGCGATTGTTGTTTGTCTTACATTTTAAAGTGAGCTGACATTTATTTATTTATGACACTTTTGTCACAGCGACGTACGTTGGAGAGAGCACGGTCAGCCAGTCACTGGAGCAATGTAGGGTCCATTCTTAAGGGCCCAGTGGTGACGTCACTCTGCTGGCCACGGGATTTGAACCAGTGCGTTTCTCATCGAAAACATAGTTATAACGCGCTGGGCCGCCCACCGTTCCAATGTACTTAGCATTTTATAATGGGCACTAAACAAATTTCTCAAGATATTTGGCCGCAGTCGTTGGTCTGTGGCTGTACATGTAATGGTGTTGACATATATTGAACGTCGTCTTGATTGGACTTCTGTAGTCTGTGTATTAAGGTATTAGATATATTCTGTTTGTCTTTATTCCACTGAACTTTTTTTTTTCTGAAAAATCTATACTATTCGGCGTTTCGATTTTTATCTTGTCTTTGGTCCAATCACCAGTACATAAAACATAACTAAGATTTATATGGAACAAAAATAAATAACAGATAATTTAGTTAAATATTTTTATGACTGAGATTTTGTCTGAATATCTGAGGGAGATAAAATATAAACGGGACTGCTTAGGATGGTGACAAAGACAACTACCGGTTCGTGTGTGGTTACGGAGGACAGAACCACAGTACGATCCACATCCTGCGCAGCCCCCTACAGAGACGCGCCCATTTGTCTGCAGCCGCTAAAAGCACAGCCAGATGGTTTGGTCTTCTTGAAAACCACAGAAAACTTCAGTCCAGGACTGAGAGACTCAGAAAGAGCTTTTTCCCCCAGGCCATTAGGCTTCTCAACGTGAACTAGCACTGAATGCACAAAGTCTGCAATTTTGCACTACAATTTTGCACTACATTTCAAATTTTTCAGTTTTGCACTATATTTTTGATTCGTGATTTTAGATTCTATATCTGCACTGTATATTTTAGATTATATACTTGGTTTCTTACTTAGTATTTATATATTGTAATTTCTCTTTTTTACTCCGACTTTACTTCTTACCTTTTTCTATTTTTATTTCTTTCTATTTTTACACAGCCACATAAGGGTGACACAGAGATACATTTCACTGCATGTTGTATGTATGTGACAAATAAATCTCTTGACTTGACTTGAAAAAGCTCTCTTGTTTCCATCCATCCATTTTCTACACCCGCTTGTCCTGTGTAGGGCCGTGGGGGCACAAGGCAGGGTATAACCCAGGACTGGGTGCCAACGCTTTGCAGGGCTCACAGGCTTTTCACATACACATTCACCCATACGGGCATTAAATATTATACGCCTCATTCAAAAAATCTGGGAGTTTTGAGATTTTTTTTTCTGTCATTTGATTTTGTACATCTTTCCAGTGGCTTCTCCAGTGACATACACTGTCTATCAGTGTCCTACCCCTGCACTTCGGCTGTCTTTATACCTTGTTTTTATTTCCTTACACTTGCTGCCAAAATAGTTACTCTTGTGCTCAGTTGATTATCAGGTTTAAAATGTAACAATGTGGTTCTATAAATTCATGAACATTTATCTAGGTTATTGCATTACATTGACGTTGCCAGAAGATGGCAGTGTGAACTCCCTCACACAAAGCTTCTACAAAGTGTGTCAGAAATTCACTTTGCTTCATGTCACAGTCGCTAGCAGCTAAAGGGGCTGCGGTTGCCAGTTCAAGGGGAAGCGGCTCTTCTTTTAAACAGGCATGAGTCTGGCTTTCAGCTGCAGTGTCCTCTGGTTCGGACAATCAGTGGCCATTATTTGCATTCTTTTGGCACTCCATGAGGCTGACCATGAGGAAACCACAGTAATCATGGGCCGGTGTGGTGCTGATCACCCCCTGCTGGTGTGTGGTGGAATCCCCATGGACCATGGCATTGAGGATGCTAGCTGGAAAAAGCACCGAAGCACCAGGGCAGACAGTGGCCTCAACTCCACACTGCTATGTAATTAATCTTGACTTTTCTTTTTTGCAACAGATGAGCCAGCTGGAGGACTCTGGACCTGCCTATGGCCCCCACTGCACTTCCACTGCTGAACTCTTTTCCTTCCATGTTCCCTTGTCCCTACAGCTTCTCTATGTTGACACTGGTGAAACATTCCATTCCAAAATGCAGTTATTTTAGCAATTTTTACTTTTCAAAACCAGGCAAAGCATTTACACTCAATGAAATATCCATTTCAGGGTTGCCTGAAGACTGTCCTGGACAGTAGATCACACACTTTTTAGAGATAATAATTTGCCTAACTGCATGGTTTTGGAGTGTGTATGGAAACCTTCACAGGGAGAACAGAGAGAGAAAATGCAACATGCATTTATCAGAGGTGGGACTCAATAAACACATGTAAGCATGTGATACAGAGAGAACTGCAAATTTATTAGGTATAGGATGTCCCTTCAAAGACTTACAGGGACTGGGCTGGAACAGTGTTAACACAAAAACAAAAAAGCTGCAGTTACAGTGAGAGAATAACAAAATGTATTTTGAATTCAGGCAGTTAAAGCTTAATGGAACAGGAGTTAGGAAGGGGACAAGGCAGATTTGCTAGGGGTAAAAAATAGAATTGAATATTGAACAAAAATGATGATACTATTAGACATAAATGAGAGACAGGTAGTGTGAATTAACATAACCCCCTGTCACTACATTAAGACAAGATGTCTCAGGCTTACTAATTACTAGCAACCCAAAAGAAAGAGAGTTAAAAACAATAATATAAAATTCACAATTCAAATAAGAATTAACATTTCCCTCAAAATGTTTAGAAGTGTTGCTTTCCATTTATGGAATAAAACTATATCCTTCAAGAACCTTACATTATATTCACAGATGAGATATCCTTCAAGAACACCATTGACACCATTGAGGAATATCTTAAATAACACCAAAGAAATCTGTGTCATTGGTGAAAAAAATATTTCTTTATATTGCTCTTGTTCCACAGGAAGTCGTGTGCTATCTAAGTCAATTTCCTGTTTCCCTGGGATACATATATGACGTTACACACACATACAAAATCCCTGTGCTGTACATCAACATGGGTGAATTAAAAAGCATTCATTGCAAATGACATTAAAGGTTGTTAACCTATACAAATTAAGTAAGGACTATAGAAAGACTGAGAAATTGTTAAAAAAAAATACCACTGAGCACTATCAGGACAAATATTTTAAAATAAATATGCATGGAATAGTTTAAAATCTGCCTGGATGAGGGGGCATCAGCATATTGATGACAGAGGTAGACAAAAAATAACCTGCCCAAAAATCACAGTTCCTGAACGCTACACCTTGCTTGAATCTTGCAGCTTTAGTATCTCTAACCCGAGTGTCAGACACTACCCACGAGAAAGATTATTACTATCACAGCAAAAGTTATATAGATAACGTGTAAAGAAACCATTCCTGAGAAGTGCAGCAGGTGTTTGCCAAATATCATTGGAGTTACGATTGGAATGTTGTGCTGTGGTCAGATGAGACCATGCACACCTTCAAGTTGGTGTTGTATGACCTCATACAAAGAAAAGTATCTGGTACCCTTCATCAAATATGGTGGTAGATTGTCAAGGTCAACGGCATCATGAATTCCATGAAATGCCAGGACATTTTAGCCAAAAACCTTACTGCCTCTGCCACAAGGTTGGCAATGGATTGACTTTTAAACAAGATAATCACCTCAAATACTCATCTACATCAACCCAGGAATGATTGAGAGAACACACAAGGTTTTACAATGGCCATCTCAGTCTCCAGATTTTAACCCCATTGAGAGCCTGCGGTGTGAATTGAGTTGAAGAGGGTAGTCCACTGATATAAACTCAAGGATATAGAGGAACTGGAATTATACTGTATGGAAGAGCTGCAAGTGCTCTACAGCCTGGTTACAAAGTTACAGAAAGAATTTCAGTGCCGTTACAATGAGGCTTCACTCAATAGTAAGCATGAGGTTGCCAATATTTGTGAAACCTACATTTTACCCTAAAAATCACATTACTAAATAATAGTCTTTGTTTGAAAAAACTAAAGTATGCTCAAATAAACACAAGACATACACCATCGCTTAAGCCCAAAATATCACTCATTGCATTTGTGGTCCAGCTTCTAAATTAATGTTTAACTCATCTTCATGGGGGTTGCCAGTTATTCTGGTGTCATTGTTTACTGACTCCATGAGATTGCTGCCCATACCAACAGACACTGTGAGCTGAAGACATCCTTTGTCTTTCTCTAAATGGACCACAGTGAGATGTAGGCAAAGGGTGAACCATGACTTACTGTTCTCCATTGCTCAGAGGTCCAGCTCTCCTGCTGAGCGGCTGTCTTTCCTTATTGGTGAACTTTGATTTGTGGCCATTGACCATCATTGCAGATGAAGCTCATCTGTTTTTGGCCTATGCTGTGATTTTTAAGAATGTTCCTCTTGACACATTACATATTCAGGCACTTCTATTCAGGTACTAATTATTCAGGCTTTGAAAATTCGCACAGCAAAGTACAACTTCTGAGGTCTTTTTAAGTCGAATACTAAGTGTCATTCAGCCTTGTGTAACCCACCTTTGCACCTGTTTGTAATTGTAATTTTTCATATGGTGTTTCCTTTATTTGCCCATCCCTTGTATGTGTGTATGTGTGAGTGTGAGAGACATTTTAATATACAATGAATGCAAAACTTAAATGTAATTGTAGAAATGCTTGATTATATTTGCAAGCTGTACCTGACACACTCATGTGTATTTTCATCTGCAAAGATCCCTAAATAATTCACCTAATTTCACAAAAAAAAGAAACAATTCAAAACAGACGAATAGAATCTAAATATTTCAAAAAGTAGATCTTTACTGGCACAACATTGTCAAACATCTTCTGTAGATCCAGATGGCATACAGGTTTTAGGACCAATCTTCCCAAGAAAGCCAATAGGTCATTTCACATACGTTCACTGAATTGCATTCCCTGACTTCCTTAACAGTAAATATTGCTAAATCTTACATGGGCATCTGACAAAACCTGACTGCATATCTATAAATGATCCATTTTATAAACTGATGAAGGAAAACACAAAGCAAAAGGGTTTAATAAAGACAGCAAAGAAGCAATACATTATTTGATGCAATACCAAAATGATTTCTATTGCCAAATTGGCATTATTGTTACTGTAGAGGCTCAAGGCACAATCATAGTGTATAAGGTGTACAATCAATTTATATTATAATGACATGTCACAATTACAAGTAAATAGAAATATTACTGTGTGAAACCACTTTAACTTGTTTGTTAATAATTAAATTTAAAATGTTTAGTACATCTAAAATGCATCTAAAAAAAACTGCAAAATACCCAAGTGTGAATTAATTGATTTCTTTGACATTATTTATTTATTTAATCATTAATAAAACAGACCATTAACAGGTGATCTGCTTTTTTACATGAAAAGTGACCATATTATGTATCTCTATTATTATGCTACAAAAAGAGATTTTATCAATAAAATAATCACAGTTTAAATGACGTGACATTGAAGTCTATAATTTATGATGAACATGAGGATGACCTTTTTTAAAATTTTTGTGCTTATGCAAAACCCATTGACAATAAGAAAACAAGGCATGTTGCAAAACAGTGAAGGGCTTTGGTTCAGGGTTTTCATGTGGAACAACATACTAAAAGGTATCGTTTTATCTACGTATTGTTTTACTGTGGCTTTAAATCTAAAAAAAAATGTATAAAATATATTAGATTTGTCTAAATAATACTTTATATAACAACTATATGTTGTAAGCTTGACAGTTGGAACATTTGTAAGTGGATGAAATATAAGAACCATTTTATGATCAAAAGAACGACATTACTGACATTTCCTGTAGTGTGAAACCAAATAATTCTAACATGTGTAATGGCAGGAATTTGTCTCTCCTGAGAACCTGAGAACTGCAGCTACAGGGATTAAAAATTTTTTGCAGGTATCTATAAAGTTGTTACCTCAGCATTATATACTAGCCTTCAGCACCGTCGTAAGTGCACCACCATCTACCGTTTTACATTTAAAAAATATTTTATAATAAAATATGCATTATTTACAGCAAATAAACACATCATAGGATCACGTCTTTCATTTCCTAAGGGAATTTTCATCTTAGGAATTTAAAATGTGTATTTAAGACCTCTGGAGGGAATTGAAAAATGCGCTTTTCCATCATAATTATTATAACTGGAAATGCACAGCAAAAACTGGCATCCCACCCAGCGTTCTGCCCTACGCTGCCTGGGTTAAGCTCAATCCCCCACCCCCTGTGACACAGACTAGAATAGGGGCGGGGGTGGTAATTGGATGGACAGATGCACAGCACATAGATATTCTGAGTTTCCTGTAACGTAATCTAAATACATTGTATCTAAAGTTATAATATGCAATTCTGAACCTTTAAAGTTAATCTCTCTAACTAGGTTTTCAATGCTCTGTTTACTTTAACTGACAGCTATATCATCCATCTTGTGGCAGAAAACTTTTTATACCTTTGAAAAAATGTAAACAAAACATTCAAAATCAGAAAGTGTTGCTTTAAAAAAATCGTTGGCATGAGACAAGCTTCTAAGTTCTAAAATTCAGTTCTAAGCAGAGAGCAGAGGGACTGCAGCACTGGCCAGGCTCAGCACCAAAAAGGCCCAGGAAGCGGCAGAACGGTGGGATTCCTTCAGCTGGAGAGCGCAGTGCTTCACATAACACAGCAGTGACGGTAGAAAGAAGAACGCCGAGCCCACTGCCTCAGACCAAGGAGCCAGCCCTGCTTTGTGCTGGAAGCATGACTGGGACGGCACCCATGCGCTCCAGTGTGGCCTGGCCTACAGCAAGGGGGTGAGCAGGCTTGCCCTGGGCCAGGCCCTGCTTCGTGTTGACGGAGCCGTTTCTGTGCAGTGTAGCAGATGGGGAGGGTGCCAAGTTAGAGGTAACTACCAGAGTCTTGGGTGGAGGAAGAGTATGGCTGCCGTTGGTGCAGGTGGGGGGGCTGGATGAGAAGTTCTGGTTGGAATCGCCGGTGTATCGCGTGTATGAGTTTGTGCTGTATTTTGGCCTGGGATTGTGCCAGTAGCGGCTGTTGTAGGTGTTGGTTGACGTTAGGGTGTCGTTCCCTGATGATGAGGCGTCAGCTTGGAACGCCTTTACCGATGAGGACCGCTTGGGTGGGAGGTCATCTTCCCTGAAGGAAATGAAGGACTCAGGTCAGGTCAGGTCAGGTCAGCCAGGAGGGACATGCACTGGTACAGTATGTTGCGTTGCCCGTAAACACACAGTAACTAAAAAACAGTAACTACCAGTAATTACACTTACATTTTTAATCTATTGTGTTGGGTCACTTAGTTAAAGTCAGTTTCTTCAATTTATTTAGTGGATACTTTTGTCCCAAGCAATATGCGAGCAATGATCAGGGTCAGCCAGTCCCTGAAGCAAATGGTGTTAGGGGCCTCATTCAAGGGCCCCACGGTGACTCTGCCTGAGACAGTAGCATTCCGATCACAGGCAGTGTCCTAACCTACAGAGCCACACAACATCTGTTCGTTAGCGCAGCGATTCCTTGCTTAATGACAGACGTCCATGGAGAGCTTTGTCATGACCCTGCATTGAAAAATGGATGGATGGATGGATGTTACTGTATTACCTTACACTGTCAATTAGTATATTAACATTATCCACTTAATATACTGCTCAGTAATCCTAATCTAGATTTTTAAGGAATTATTCTGGATATATTTATGTTCCAACACTGAGCATCGACATTGCAAAACAATCCATTTAAACTAGCCGATTTCCACATCAGAGGAATACACTCTTATTTTTAGGAATTTCTCTCTTTGCACACATTACGATCAATGTGATTATTGTGGTAGTCAAGCATTCAGTTCTGCTTAAGTGGCTGCTTCTCCTTTACAGATGTACCCAGGCAGGAAATGCCTGGCTTCACCCCTATGAGCAAATAATAGAAGGTACAGATAGCAGCGACTGGATCACAAATGATAAACACAGTCAGTATATTTTTAAATGCTTTTTCATGGCAGAACCTTAGAAGATGAATCAGTTCGCCGACAGAGGAGGGTACAGAGGCAATACTGCCCATTAGGGTGGCTAAAGCACTCCAAAGCTCTCCCTGGGGCTTGAAAGCTGTGTGCATATTTTCTAGCCCAGGTGCAAACCCCCTTGGACTGCTGAAAATCAAGAATGGGTGCCCCCCCCCCCCTTACCCTAAAAACACAGGAAAACTTCACGTGAATCACGGGCCCAGGACGGCTGGTACTTAGGGCACGTGCTGGAATAATAAACACTGTGACTTCTATCCGCTACCATGAGGCGAGTCCTTGCCCATGGATTTAGGCATGCATGCAAGGACAAAGACATTACTTGCTGGGTGCAACAGCCATTCCCCCCCCCCCCCTCCCGAAGCCTGTTTAAACACCAGAGGCACAGTGAACAGAGCAAGTCCCTCAGTCCTGCCTAAGAGACCAGTTTCTGGGAAACACACTTCATCCATTGCCTGCATAGATGAGGATGTGCAGTTTGTACAGGCAGTCTGTCACTGTGGGGGTGATTCCCAACTGCTCTGACATGCCCAGTCAGGGTTTGCTGTTCTCTGGTGTGCCTCCTTGCAGCTAAAAGCCAGAGAATTGTGGCAGAGGCGGAGAGGAACCAGAATGACCAGCAATTATATCGACCCAGGCTGCTGACCAATGAGGAGGCCGACTATACTGATCAGGAAGGTTGGCCAATCTGAGGACCATCTATCCCGTTCGTCGTACCTCTGACTTATTTCAGCACTAGCAACTTACTGTGAACAGTAACACCCCCCCCCCCCCCGTGCACTGATCCAGCTTAAACACCAGAGGAAAACTGTCATGATTGAGCCTTGAAAGGTCAATCGCTGCTTTGGTAGTGCAGGGTACACGCGGAACATCGCCTGGCAGGGTGGCCAATCACAATGCCCCAGTAACATGCAGCAGGCAGTCAATTATTCCTACTAGATGAAGATAATTGAATTTGGTCTCTCTGGGGCTTTGAAGGCCACCGTGACACTAGATGCCAATTGACCGACTGAACATTTTCTCTTAAGGCAGATGCAGATTGACAGCTGCCCGAACCTGACCACTGGCCACCTGCCTGAAAAGCCCTGCATGAAGAAGCCACAAACCCCATGAATTACCAAGCAGTGAGGATGGGGCACCAAGATTCGATTTCACCTCTCTCCTACCACCATGATTCTGTACTGAGTGAGTGAGTGAAAGATGGATGGATGGATGTAAAGCTTATTAAAATGTAAACCAATTATTAGCAAACATACCCTAGATTGAGAAGTTTTGAAAAAAATGTACTGAACAAAGGCACTAGACTGTGATTGGCCATTGGGAAATCCGGGAATTTTCCCAGTGGGTGGGTTTTGAGAGGGCCAGCCATTACAGAGCCGATACACCAGAGACATCTGGTCTGTAGATCTTGGTGTGTTTCCAGGTTGATCACAGAAGATAATTAATGGATAATGTGTTATTTCATTGGTGTCCAACCAGTTGATCCCTGGTCAACAATAAAGTATACCAGCCCCCCCCCCCCCAAAAAAAATAAAAAATTCCCAGGCTGCTTTTTGTTGCCAGTCCCCCAGTGCCCCTGAAAGGCACTGATCCAGAAGCAACAGGGGTTGAAAGAACTTTAGGGTTTTTGTTGAGAATTAGAGGCCTTGAATGTAAAAGCAAAATGCAAGTGATAAATGGTGGATTAGTGGCCAGGCACACAACCAGTGAAGCCACATCTGCAGAAGACAAAAGGAGACCACTGTAAAGTGCCATTTGCTCATCACACTGAACAAGCGAAAGGTGCTGCAGAAAAATACAGTGAATGACGTTTCCCAACCTGGTTCTCTAGGTCCCCCAGATGGTCCACTTTGTACTCCTGGTAGGTAGCAAAAATGTGGACTGTTTAGCAAGGAGCTGGGAGGGAGCAAAAATGTGGACTGTTTAGCAAGGAGCTGGGAGGGAGCAAAAATGTGGACTGT